GGTATGCACCCAAGAGAATGGAAGTAAATGCCCTTACAAAGACTTGTGTAGGAATGTTCTCAGCAGCTTTATTTACACTAGTAAGAGATTAGAAACTACCTAAACGTCCCTCTGCAGTTCAGTGGATAAACAAATCGTGGTGTGTGCGCCAGGCAAAACTATTTGACAATGAAAAGGAAGGTTTATGTGGATTTTGAGAATTTTCCACAATGAGCAAATGTCACTTTTCAATGAAAACAGTACTTTTACAAATTAGGGTGTTTTTTTCACAGCTTTATTGAGGTACAATTGACATAATGAACTGTGCACACCTAAAGGGTATATAGTGTGGTAAGTTTTGAGGTATATAGATGAATGCACGACTGTCACCACGATAAAGATGAGGAGTCCACCCATCACTTCAAGAATGTCTCAGTGCCTCTTTTCAGTCCCTGCTCTTACCCCGTCTCCACCCCAGGCAACCACTGATGTGCGTTCTGCCGATATAGATTAGTTTGCATATTCTAGGAGTTTACATAAATGGGATCATAAGATATGTACTTCTTTGGTCTAGCTTATTTCCCTCAGTGTAAGTATTCTGAGATTCATCCGTGTTGTGTCTATCAATAGTTCGCTCCTTTTTCCCTGATTGGGTGGGGAAATGAGGAACTTTTCACCAAATGGTGTACTGGGCCACCTGAATATCTGATATGTTAAAAAATAGACTTGAATGCGTGTCTCACACCCTATACAAGCATCAACTCACAACGAATATGTTTTAAGTCTTTAAAAACTGCAACTATACAATTTCTAAGAAGACAAGATATGAAAACATCTTTGTGACACTGACTTAGGCAAACATTTCTTAGATATAATTCCCAAAGCATGATCCATCAAAGAAAAAATGGATAAATTAGATTTTATCGAAATGAAAATTATTTGGTCTAAGAGTGATGCTGTTAAAAGAATTGGAGGACAAGCCACAGACTGGGGAAAAAAAACATTGTTGAATCATATGTCTAATAAAGGACTTGTATCCAGAAACTATAAATAACTCTCAAGACTCAATAATAAGAAGTTAAACAACCCAATAAAAAATGTGCAAAAGTTCTGAAGAGTTTATTGAAGAAGATTTTGTCAGATGCTTTTTTCTGCTCTGAAATGATCATTTGGTTCATTTTTCAGTTTGTTAATGTGGTGACATTGATTTTTTTTTTTAAATGTTAAACCAACCTTGCATCCTGAAATAAACATTATATACTTATTATGTATTATTATTTTTATATATTATTGAATTCAGTTTGCTAAAATCTTCTTTAGAATTTTTGCATCTATGGTATACTGGTCTGTGGAGATAACTGATCTGTAGTTTCTTTTAATGTCTTTGTCAGGCATAAAATGAGTTGAGATGCATTTCTTTCCCAGCTTTCTGGAAGAGTTTGTTTACATTTGGTATTAATGTTTCCTTAAATGATCTCTACTCTGATCTTAATTATTTCCTTTTTCTGCTTGCTTGATATTTCAGTTGCTCTCCTTTCTCTAGTTTATTTAAGGTGCTAATTAACTGATGTCATTGTTTGGAGACCTTTTTTACTGATTTTACAGAGTTTTAAAATTTTGATATGTTGTGTTTTCATTTTTACTCATTACAAAATGCTTTGTCCCATGAGTTATTTAGAAGTCTGCTGTTTAGTTTCAAAATACAAGGGGATTTTACAGATATCTTTCTGTTATTGATTTCTAATTGAGTTTCATTTTATAACATCAGTTCTTTGAGACTTGTTGAGACTTGTTGAGACTTGTTTTATGGATCAGAGTATGATCTGTCTTTGTAAGTGTTCCATGAAAACTTGACAAGAGTGTGTATCTGCTATTTTGGGGTAGAGTGATCTATAAATGTCAGGCCAAGTTGATTTTGTTGTTTATGTTCTTACTGACCTTCTACTTGGTCTATCAGTTATTGTGAAAGGGGTATTGAAAATCTCTTAGCTATAATTGTACATTATCTTTTTCAATGTTTTTCATTTTTTACTTCATGTATTTTGCAGTTCTTTGATAAGATGCATAAAATTTAGGACTGTTGGTTCCTTTTAATAAATTGATCTCCTTTATTGTTTTAAAATGACCTTCTTTATCTCTGGATATATTCTTTGCCCTGAGATCTGCTTTGGTATTAATATAGCCTCTTCAACTTTATTTTGATTAGTGATAGCACATTGTATCTTTTTTCTATCCTTTTATTTTAAACTTTTATATTAAAAGTATGTTTATTGCAGGTGGCATATATTTGGATCTTGCCCTCCCCCACTGACAGTCTTTGCCTTTTCACTGAGGCACTTAGACCATTTACATTTGTTGTGATTATCGATATGATTACATTTAAATCTCATCTTGCTGCATACGTATCTTCTATTGGTTTCATATGTTCTTTGTTCCCTTTTTCCTCATTTTCTTCTTTTGCATTAATTGAGTGTTTTTTATGATTCCCATTTAACTCCTTCTTGACTTTTGTCTATAACTTTTATGAATTTAGCTATTATTTTAGGGTTTATAGTGTACATCCTCATAACAGTCTGCCTTCATGTGAGATTGTATTACTTCACATACAGTGTAAGAAACGATAGGATGCTCCCACTTCTCCTCCCCCAGCCATTGTGGTATTATTGTCATACTTTGAACTTTTGCATATGTTAAAAATCCCATTATTATTTTTGTTTCAGTAGTTAGTCAGCTTTTAAAGGGATTTAAATAATAATAATAAAACAAGTCTTATATATTTGCCCATGTGGCTGCCATGTCAGGGCTCTGTACTACTTTGTGTGGCTCTGGGTTTCCATTTGGAATCATGTTTCCTTCTGTCTGGAGAACTTCCTTCTCAGTCCTAGTAGTGCAGTTCTGATGATGAAGTCTTTCAGCTTTGGGGTGTCTATGAAAAAGCCTCTATTTTGCTTTCATTTTTGAAGTATATTTTGATGGGCAAATACATTTGTGCTGAAGTGGAATTTTTTTCCTTTAGGCACTTTAAAGATGTTACTTTCCTGTCTTCTTGTTTGCATTGTGTCCAGTGAGAGCTCTGCTGTCATCTGTCTTTGTTCCTCCATGTGTCTTTTCTCTGACTGTGTTTAAGGTGTTCTCTTTATACTGCTATTGAGCAATTTGTTATGTGCCTTGATCTAGCTTTCTTCATATTTATTGCGCTTGGGCAATATCTTCATATTGTGCTTGCGCTTGGGAAATTCTGAGATCCGTAGGTTTGTTGATTTCATCAAAGTTGGAAAAATGTTGACTTTTCTTCAAATATATTTCTGTCCCCTTTTCTCTCTCTTCTCCTTAATGAGCTCTAATTACATATATTTGAGGCTGCTTAAATTTTTCCCACACCCCATGAATTTTCTGTTCTTCTGCTACTTTTCCCCAGTCTCTTTTTTTTTTTTGAGACAGAGTCTCACTTTGTTGCCCAGGCTAGAATGAGTGCCGTGGCGTCAGCCTAGCTCACAGCAACCTCAAACTCCTGGGCTCAAAGCAATCCTGCTGCCTCAGCCTCCCGAGTAGCTGGGACTACAGGCATGCGCCACCATGCCCGGCTGATTTTTTGTATATATATTAGTTAGCCAATTAATTTCTTTCTATTTATAGTAGAGACGGGGTCTTGCTCTTGCTCAGGCTGGTTTCGAACTCCTGACCTCGAGCAATCCGCCCACCTCACCCTCCCAGAGTGATAGGTTATAGGCGTGAGCCACCGCGCGCGGCCTCCCCAGTCTCTTTTTCTGTTTGTGTTTCATTTTGGATAGTTTCTGTTACTGTGTCTTTAGGTTCACTAATCTTTTCCTCTGCAATTTCTATTCTGTGTTTGAGCCCATCAAGTGTATTTTTCACCTCATGTGTATGTAGTTTTCACCTCCAGAAGTTTGGCTGGGTCTTTTCATACTTTAGGTCTGTGTCTTCTAGGGGTCTTTGTGTGCTCTGAGTGGCCCCACTGGACGTGCACAGGGGCCCTTGCGCCCTTGCAGGCCCCGGCTTCCCATCTGTATTTCTGTCCCTCTGGTACTCTGCCCTGTGGACTCTGGCCACCTTGTTTTCCCCGATTCCCAGTTTAGGAGGTCTGCCACACTGTGCCCAGGTCCCTTACTGTGACCACAGGCCTGGCGGTACCTTGGTTTTCACCGTCTGTTCAAGGGGGGATATGGGGTCACTGGGAGCAAACAAGGAGCTGGCACCAGGGACACAAGTGGCCCCCATGGGACGTGTAGCGAGAGAGCTGGGCGCCTGTGAGCGCCGTGTCCTGCTTGTGGCCGGCGGGCTTGACGGGTCCCCTCGTGTTGTAACATGTTGAAAAGACCCACATCCTAAGTCAGTTTTGACTGTGGTGGCCTATGGCACCTGCGTGACATGAACAGTCAAGCTCAGAGTGTGAATGGACGTGTGTGCTTTCAGTTCTCAGTTATCCAAGCGTCTTTTCAAAAACTTTCCACTCTGCAAACGAGCTTGTGATGAGCTAAGACAAGATAGTTTAAACACAGTAAGAAAACATGTAAGTGCGCTTGTTAAGACTCAGGGCTTCCTGCTGGCTCCCGGGTGTTGTGCGAGCAAAGCCGCGTGGCCCGGCCGTGCCTGGCCCCGCAGTGGCAGGGGAGCGCGTGCAGGGCGCGAGCACCAGGGCAGCGTGGACGGGAGGGGCAGCCCCCACCTGCACGGCCTCCTGGGGCTCTGACTTGCTCCCGGAAGCACCCGCCATCTGCCCATCTGCCTGGCCCCAGCCGCGAGTGGCTGAGTCGAAGTCTCTGCAGGGTCTGGGGTTCCTGTTTCCCCCATGTCCTGGCACTGCTCCTTTTCTGTGCCGCGGGGACGCGAGGCCTCGGACACGGCAGGTGCAGCTTGGGTCCCCGTGTCCCTCAGCAGATAGAGCGAGCCCTCCCCGCCACTCCCTTCTGCGACCACGTCCCAGCGCCAGGTCAGCGCCTGGCCTCCCTCCGCCGTGTGACGGTGGGCTCGGCGTCACCTTCCCGTCTGCTCCCTTTCAGGCATCAGCAACGCGGAGGCGCGGCAGCCGGGCAAGGCGCCCAACTTCAGCGTGAACTGGACGGTGGGCGACTCGGCCATCGAAGTCGTCAACGCCACCACGGGCAAGGACGAGCTGGGCCGCGCGTCCCGCCTCTGCAAGCACGCGATGTTCTGCCGCTGGATGCGCGTGTACAGCAAGGTACCAGGCCAGGGCCCGCCCCACAGTGTCCCCTGTCCCCAGGGCCCCTCTCCCTGCAGTGTCCCCTGTCCCCAGGGCTCTCCTCCTGGAACCCTCTGCACAGCTCCCTGGGAGAAGCGGCCACTTGGAAGCCACGTGCTCCTTCCACGTGTGGCCCTGGCTGCTCAGAGGTTACGGCCACCCAGTTGCAGCCCTTCCCGTCCCTCCCACAGAGCAGGAGCCCTGCCCAGGGGCCTCTGGACTTTCTGAAACTTCTCTCACTGCTCCGATGCTGAAAACGATGATGAACAGGCAGGGCCAGTCACCCCCGTCCCCGTCCTTCTCAGCAGCACACAGGTCACAGCGGCCTCTGTCCACCCTCCTGGGGAGCTTTTAATCCTTTTGTTTTAGCTGCAGGGCCCCACAGTAAGACCTTAGAAAACAAGTCAGGATTTTGCTGGTTTTAACTTATTTTTAAGTGAAGCGTATAGCACTTGCTTATCACCAGGCCGGCACTGGACGTGGGCGTGGAGGTCACGCACGGACGCGGCTGGCTCGGGAGGGTCCTGTCCCCAGAGGCGCAGCCACCCGTGCTGGCCGCCAATCGGCCAAAAATCTGAGAATCAAGCCGCACGAGGGCTGCCTCGGCAATGCTCAGTGTGAGAAAATGCACAGGACACAGTGGTGCTTTTTAAATATGGGATTCGTTTTTCTTTCTTTTTTTTTTTTTTGAGACAGAGTCTCACTGTGTTGTCTGGGCTAGAGTGCCGTGGCGTCAGCCTAGCTCACAGCAACCTCAGACTCCTGGGCTCAGGCGGTCCTCCTGCCTCAGCCTCCCGAGTAGCTGGGACTACAGGCACGCGCCACCATGCCCGGCTAAGTTTTCCTATATAGATTTTTAACTGTCCAAGTAATTTCTTTCTATTTTAGTATAGATGGGGTCTGGCTCTTGCTCAGGCTGGTCTCCAACTCCTGACCTTGAGCGATCTTCCTGCCTCGGCCTCCCGGAGTGCTAGGATTGCAGGCGTGAGCCGCCGCGCCCGGCCTGAAAATGAGATTGGAACCGACCGTGTGGTCTGGCAGAGGCTCCAAAGCTGGGCTGCACAGCTGCCTCACTGGGTAGCGGCGGGACTGGGCGGAGGCGGCGGCCCAGCCTGGTGCGAGGCCGTTCCCATGACAGAGGCGCTTTCGGCCGGGGTGGCCCCCCCAGAACCCAGTGCAGCACTAAATGCCATTTTGGGGTCCTACTAGGTTTTACTGTCACCTGCGGCCACCTCAGCAGCTGTCCTTGTCTGTCCTCTCGCAGGTCCCCTCGCACCTGCTGCGCTCCAAGGTCACCAAGCCCAACATGTACCACGAGTGCAAGCTGGCGGCGCGGGAGTACCAGGCCGCCAAGGCACGCCTGTTCACGGCCTTCATCAAGGCAGGGCTGGGCGCCTGGGTGGAGAAGCCCACGGAGCAGGACCAGTTCTCGCTCACGCCGTGACCGGGCGCCATGGGGGGCCGGGGGGCTGCGTCGGCCCCCGGAGCCTCACGTCGGGACTGGGGGCGGCGGCACACGCCGGGGAGGGTGGGGGGCGTCCGGAGTCGTCCCCGGGTGTCTCACTGGCGCAGCTGGGGGAGGGCGTGGGGGGCGGGGCCGCGTCACCGCGCAGCATCTCTCTGCCACCGCGTTCCCCTCCGAACTGCCCGGCGACCGCTTTCCATCTCCGTTCACGTCTGGGAATCGAGTTCTACTGAGTAGGGCTTCCTTAAGTTTAGGAAACTAGAAATTACTCTGTGTGAAATTCTTGAATAAATAATTTATTCAGAGCTAGGAATGTGGTTTATAAAATAAGGAGTAATTAAGTCAGGTCACTTTTATGCCACGTTATTTTAGTTGCAGAAGAGCGGCTGTAGCTGGAGGAGGTGAGGCGCAGAGGCAGGAGTAGCAGCCTGAGGAGGCCGTGTCACGCGTCGGAGCTTAGCGCCCGTTTCCCGTGGGCACTTCCGTGGTCGGTTTCCACGCCAGGCTTCACCGTGTCCCGGGAGCAGACTCCCAGCATGACGCCGGCCGCCCCGTGGCACGCACGGGGTCCCGCAGTGCAGACCCAGCCCCTATAGCCACAGCCTCCTCTAGAAGCTTCCGTACTCCTCGTAGGATCGGATGGTGGAAAAGTGTTGTTGGTTTACTTCTAAATAATCACAGAAAAAACACGCCAGTGACCCTGTGCCGGCCACTCACTCGGGGTTCTAGACAGTGCTCGGCCCCCGAGGGCTGGAAGGAATTGGAAGGGCCACGAGGCCTCACGGGGGCCCAGGGTCCCTCTGCTGCTCCCTGGGCCTGATGCGCACGGCCGCCCAGGGCGGGCCACGGGGCACTTGCAGGCGCATCTAGGTAGACGGCCGTTCTTGGAAAATGCCACGTCAGGATGTTTTTAAATTATTCTTTCCAGCTTTATCAAAGACCTGTTTGAAAAGTAAAGAGCTTCCAGGCCGAGAGCCATGAGACTGCGGGTCACGGGCACAGCAGGGGCTGGACGTTGGCGGGGGGGTCCAGGACGGCCCCACAGCGGGAGCCATGGGGGGTCAGGGGCACGTGGTCAGGTGTGGACACCGCAGCCAGGCCCAGAGATCTGCACCAGTTGCCTTGTCACCCCCTCAGGGTGGGGGGCTGGGGGCTCTGCCGCTGGCGGGGCTCCACCCTCCGGCCTGGGGGTGCTGAGGGCCATCCCAGGGCCGTGGGCAGGGATGGTGCAGGGCCCACCCCACGGCGCGCCTGTCCCGAGAGGGACCGAGCTGTATTCCTGGACGCTTTGTGTCCTTTGTGGGTTTAGGAAGCCAGGAGCAGAAAGCGGCCTTCATTCCCGCCTGCCCCCGGGGCCGGGCCTTGGGGGGCCGTGCGTGTGCACCAGAGGCAAGTGCCACGCCACGGGCCATGGCACCGCAAGGCTGGTTCCGTGTGGCAGGAAGGGGTGCTCGTTGTTGGGGACTCAACCAGGTTCCAGGGAGGGGACATCAGCCTCCCGCCAGCCTTCTCCTGCTGGCCGTCGGAGCAGGGGTCTTGCTTGGGCGGAACGTGCGAGTTTTCTCTGCACCTGCAGAGGAGAGGTGTCTGGGGTGCCGCCCCCTTCCCCAGAGCAGGCTCTCGAACACTCTAGACAAACATCCCATGAGTCCGTGCGTTTTTACTCTTGTCTCTATAAAGTGTATTTTTTCTAATGGGAATTGGGAGATAGACTTAGTTTTTAAAAAAAATATATGGGTTTTGGTTACACAGAACGGTGGGAATACATTCCACGTATGTTTGAGGCTGTCCGTGTGTCTGGCTGAACTGGGCATGACTGTGCCCCTCGCCCCCAGCCCACCCCAGGTGAGCTGCAGTCTGGGCACGCACAGTGGGTCCAGCCCTGCGCCCTGGCGGGAGCACCCGCAGAGGTTCAGTTCAGGGAGCCTCGGCAGGGCGGGGCGGGGCGGGGCGGGGGAGCCGGCAGGCGGGAAGCAGCAGCTCCGTGAGCCGCTCCCTGACTCTGACCGGGGCTGGCGCGCCCGGGGCGGCTGGGAAGGAGCGAAGGTGAGCGGACCCCGTGAGGCAGCTCAGGGACTCGGCTTCCAAATGCCCTGAGCACGCAGGAGCCTCCGTTACACTGGGACAGTGTCAGGAGGTGTCACTTTGCACCCAGGTCCTTGGTCTGAATCTTAGAGAACGGAAAGTTTGACACAACCAGGAACTTTCTGATAAAAATCCTGCAATCTGAGTACAGTTTGACAGGTAGGGGACGGGGGGTTTCTGTTTTGTTGTCAGCTAGACCTGCAGCATGAATTCCGTGGTGCCCGGGGACCACTCAGGTGCGGCTGTGCTGGGGCCGCAGCCCGCGCGGGTAGGTGGCGCTGTCAGGGAGTCTCGGGTGGGCATGTTCTGCGACACGAGCCGGGCTCTTCCTAGGGGGACGGTCGTGGGGGGCTGGGGGGGCTGCCACCACCCGAGGCCCCCGTCACCTGCTCACAGCATCAGGGTGCACCTCTCCCAGCAAGGGGTGCCAAAGACGCAGTTTTCATTCGGAGTCTTAACCTCTCATCATCTTTTCCTGTTTTGGAGGGTTTTTTTGGTATTTTAAAACAATTATTTTTAAACGTGCGAGCCAACATCTCACACGGCATTGATGTCTCTGGTTCGTTTCTGTGCAGCTGATTTCACGAGTCCCCAGGCTGCAGAGTAGCTGCTTCCTTTGTGGAGACGGCACTCCTCCCCGTCATTGCAAAGCGCCACGCCCAGGCGGGGCGGCTGTCTGTCCCCAAGGTGGGTGCAGATCTGAGGACGGAGCCTCCTGCGTCCCTGGGGGACCACACGCCCCTACCCCTTTTCTCAAACAAGTGAATAAATAAACGCAGCACAGGTGGGTCATTTCACTTCCAAAATATTGTATGCTGGAAACCCAAGGTCCGTCCCAGTCAGAATTTTGCTCCAGCAAGGTGAAGACAATTGGCTGACTTCCCCATCCCGGAATTCTGTGACATTGTAGGATCTCTCGAAAGATTCCTTCGTCTCGACCCCAAACTATGTAAACGGAAAGGGCAGAGGATTTGTGTTCAGGGTGTGTCCAGTTATGTATGTCCTTGTCCCCAACACGTCGTGTGACAATCTCCGTGAGTGTGAGGTGGCAGGTGGGTGGCTCGGCGGGCACTGGCCACGCGAGTTCTGGGGCTTGGGTGATGCCGGGGCTGGAGCACGAAGTTAGGGAAGTGTCTGACCCGCCCGCCGGGGACGGGTCAGGGTCAGGGTGAGGGTTAAGCGGACGGTGGGTCTGACTGGCTGAGGGCCCCGGTGAGATGCCCCCGCCGCCCGCGGCGCCCTTCCCCGTGTGCTGTTCACGGGCCCAGCCGAGAGCGCCGGCTTTGGCCACGGCCGATGCCGCTGGCATGTAGGGAACTGGTGGCCGCTGTAGACGCGGACCCCAATGACTAAAGCACAGTCCACAGAATGCTAGTGAGTGAGTCCCCAAAGCTATTTGCTTTTCCGGGCTTTGGGCTATGTGCTTTTAATTTTTAATTTTAGAATCCGGACACTTCATATGAATGTAACTCAGCCAAGAGTTGCTCAGATCCCATCTCCTGTGTTCTGTGTGTATCCGTGTACATAGCACACGCCACGCCGCACCCCAGCATGAGACGCTGTCCTGTGCAGACAAAGGGTTTGAGATGTTCTCAATAAAACTACCTTTCACTACTCCCGCGTGGCCGAGGTCTTCTTTTCCTCTCACCTTGCTTCTGCCCTCGGCTCCCCGACAGGTCTAGGGAGCGAGTCGGAAGACGTGGACAGACGCCACTCGTGCCTCGGGCCTGGCCCCAGTGGTCTCGTCACCTGCCAGGTGCTGCCACTGGGGACAGTCCCCTTCACTCCGCCTGTCACGTCTTGGCTCTGCACCTCTCCCCGGGGCACGTGGGCTCCTCTCACGCATGTGCGTGTAGGGGGTGTTCAGGGAAACCACACCCGGACCCACCCGTGAGCAGTGGCACAGCCACGTGACGTGGGGTTTCGTGGGGGGCAGGGGACACAGGGAGAGCCTGGACGCTCCATGGCAACCGGGCAGAGGCGGGAGAGGCACAGGCACCGAGCTGCACCGTGGAAGCGCTGCTGCTCCCAGTCACGACGGTGCAGAAGGTCGCTCGTCACAGGCAGAGCGGAGCGCTGGCTGCAAAGCAGCGTCTGTCTCTTGGTTGCAAAGAAACGCGTGTGGTGTGTGTGCGCGCGCAACACGCGAGGAGCGGTCTGGCAGGGAGGGGACTGGCCGTGCTCTGTGCGTGACGGGGTTTGGGGCGATGTCAGTGTTTTTCCTTTTTTGATTAAACACACCCACTTGTCTGCCGTCTCCACAATTAAGTGGCGAACTTTGGGAAATGTTTTGTAAAATCAGAAGCGCCGTATAAATGAAAAGCTCTATCACAGACAGACAGCTTGGCTGTTCTTTTGCATCCATTGTGAACGTGTTTCTTTTTTTCACAATAAAAGGAACGTTCCAACGAAACCATGTTGCATCAGAAAAGTTTACGCTTCAGAGAAAAGCACGGAGGGAACAGCTCCTCCGCCAAAGTCCAGACCTCAGAGCGGGGATCCCGGGATCAGCCCCTCACGGCACCGTGGGTGGAAAACCCAGACTCCTCCGTGGTCTCCGACGGAATTGGGGAAATGGCTGCATTTTTCCAAATAAGATGAAAGTTTCGCTTCTTAAAAAATACTTTGTAGTGAATCTCAGAGCCTGACTTTAAAATTTGAGGTTCTTGAGCTTTGCTTCAGCCAAGGCGTTGAACGCCGAGCACAGTCAGGCGCTGTTCCAGGCGCTTGGAACAGACCGGCGTGCGCGCAGGTTGTTCTCTCGGGGGGAGGACCGAGACGACGCACACGCTGGGCATCTGGGAGGTGCCTGGGAGGGATGGAAGAGCCGATGAGGTTGACGGGCGTGCAGCTGCGACCCTCGGTGCGGGCACAGGGCGAGGGGCCGGCCGCCCCACAGGCACCAGCCTGCTGCCGCCCAAGGCCGGCGTTCCAGGGACTTTGCGAGGCAGCGGCTGAACACGGCCATCGTTTAAGGGCACGTTGCGTGAATCTGAGAGTAAAGGTAACGGTTACCCGGATCCTGTCACTTCCCGCTCACCTTGCTGCAGTCCGTGTCCTCTCTGGGCCGCGCCGCCCCCGAGTGCGCTCAGTGACAGTCGCGGGGAGTGCGGATCGGCTGCGGCGGGAGGCCTTGGCCGCAGTGTCCATGGAGGCCCACGCAGCCCGCGCTGTGGGGGCAGGTGCGGACGCGCTGAGGCCTTCCCGTGTGAGCGGCACAGGGACGCTGAAGACGTCGCCCTGCGGCTTCTGAAAACTCGAGCAGCGTAGGAACGAGGGCGGCTCCGACTCCGTCCTTGGTGCCCGGCCTCCCCTGGCGGGCGGAGTGCGCCAGCGTCCTCGTCATCGACACGCTCTCAACAACGCCACCGTGTCGGCTAGGACAAAAGGGCCCCGCACGGGGCCACGGAAGCTCCTCGAGAACCGGCTCCCTGGGATTCACAATAGAGTGTATTTTATCGGTGCCCTAAAACTGTGCGCCGCACCCTTTATGTCTAGAATGTACGACAGGCGCATGCACACGCGTGTGCACACGTGGTGGGAGGGGCGCCTGCTCTTTGCATGTCCTAGCGCCACTGGTCCCTCGTATGCTGGGAGCAAATCACGGGAGGGGCCCGGAGTCTCTGGGGTGGCCCAGCCTCCGGCGAGTGTCCCCATCCCTGGAGGGGAGTGGGGTGGGTTCCCGGTGCCTGGGCTCAGACCCCTCGGCCTCCAGGGCGGGTGGCACCGAGGCCCCGCCTTCCGCCTAGGCGCACCTCCTCGGAAAACGCCCTCGCAAGGAGAGTGCAGCTGTGGAGACAAAGATGGTCGTGCTGAGCTAGAGATCCCATTAGGACATATTCTGATATTTTAGAACAGGCGGTCCAGGAATTAACAATTAACAGCTATTATAGAAGACTCAAGGAAACAAAAGAGAACCAGGCAGAATGTGGAGGAGTGAATGCAACAGACAAGCCAAGTAACGGACCGCGCCTGGGACTGGAAGGCCGCGTGGCGGAGGAACGGGCAAAGTGGAAGGAGTCACGCAATAAACGCTTGGGGGGCGAAGCGCCAACGTCTGGCCAGTCGGCGTCCAGGCGCTTGGTTCTCCCACCCGGGGGGGGGGGGTGCTGTTAGACCTAAAGCTGAAGCCGGCCGTGGGAACGGAGTGTGCCAGCCCTCCGGGGGCGGGGGGGCGTTGGCAGAGAAGGGAGGGAGGTTTGGATGAAACGACGGCAGCCCGCGCTGGCCGCTGCTGGGGCCAGCATGTCGCGGGCACTTGTGACACCCATCTCTGCTTTCTTGTGTTTGGAAATCGGTTATAAGGAGTTTTAAAATGTTCTGGCACAGACTTTTTCAAGTGCCATTTCTTCAGTACTCTGAATGCTCATGGATTTTTATAGAAAAGCAAGCATTTTAATGCTCTAAAACGTAAATTGTCCAAGTTTTTTTAAAAGAAAGATATTAGAAAGATTTTTTTTTAAATTACAATCATTTACTTCCTCAGAGAGTCATTTAAAACACATTTTTGTGGAAACAAGTACTTTATGCACCAGAGGAATCTTATGTCACTGTTCACCCTGCTTGATTTTTCTTCCTGACACCACCCTGACAAAACTTGCATTTGTTTGTCTGTCCTCCTGTGAAATGTAAGTGCCGTGGGGTGGGAGACGTTGGTTTGTTCGAGGCTGTTCGCTGCACAAGCCTGTCATGCCGCAGACATTTAGTAAACACGTTCTGAGTTGAAACCCAATTCTCAGGCTCACAGTGTCCCAGAGCTCTGCCACGCTAAGAGCCACGTGGAACGCAGTTTGGAGTGAGATGCTTAAATTGAGAAACAAAGTTTAGAAAATCTTGCAAGAGGTTGACAAAGCAAAAGTGATCAGTAGATTGCCGTGTGGTGGCTTTTAAAAAGCTAAAGTCGAAGAAAACACAAGCACTTCACGACCCAAGATGTAAAGTCTAGAGAACATAGTGTGGTGGGAGACTGAAGAATGCGGGGCTGCATGTGAGTTTTGTCTATTGGGGTGGAGGAATAAACATCCAATTAAAAAAAAATTGAAACAGTAACATAGAAAAATTAATGCTAAGAAAAATCAAGTAGGATGAACATATCAAAGATCTTACGTTAATCTTTATAAAAATCTGTTAACAAGATGTTAAAACTGATTAAATTGAGAATTCAACTTACTGTACTAGATTAAATGTGTCAGGCCTTGTGTCTGCTTGGTCCAGGCAGAGAACAGCAGGGCCAAGATGGAAATGAACAGCTGGCAGCCGTCTGACCTCGTGAATATTACCTCATGAATATTGAGTGTCTCATGAATATTGAATATCTCATGAATTTTGAATGTGATATGAATATTAAGTATCTCTCCAGCCCACCCTGCCCACCTCTCTCAGGAGGTGACCTGCCTACCCAGTCCCAGTGTCTCACGGGCCACTTGCCTGTCTGCCCATCGCTCTTGTCTTCTGCAGATGAACTGAATACTCTCAATACTACAGACACACATGACACCGTGCCAGCCGTTGGACCCATGAGTTTTTAGCAGTATATCCCTTTTTTCCACTGGACACAAAGGAAACCTTGATTAAGATACTTAACAGAACTAATGGAAGAGTGTTTTTTGTTTTTTCTTTTTGTGACAGAGTCTCGCTCTGTTGCCTGGGCTAGAGTGCCATGGCATCAGCCTAGCTCACAGCAACCTCAAACTCCTGGGCTCAAGCAATCCTCCTGCCTCAGCCTCCTGAGTAGCTGGGACTACAGGCATGCGCCACCATGCCTGGCTCGTTTTTTCTATATATTTTTAGTTGTCTAGCTAATTTCTTTCTATTTTTTTAGTAGAGATGGGGTCTCGCTCTTGCTCCGGCTGGTTTCGAACTCCTGACTTCAAGCGATCCTCTCGCCTCTGCCTCCCAGAGTGCTAGGATTACAGGCGTGAGCCACCGCGCCCTGCTGGGGGAGAGTTTTTAAATTATTTTTATACTTGGTTATTATTTAGTGTTTCGCTCCTGGAAAGTAGTGTTCAGTAAGCACATGTACACACGCCCTCACTTAGTGCATACCCTGAACATTTACCTGCAGTTCTCATTAAAATGTTGTGATTCAGAAAAGCAGTGTGTAGACTCCTTTTCTTTTAATGTCATATTATAAAATAGGTCAATTAATTATATTAGATACATGTTTTAAATCATGACTTTATTGCCTTCAGAAACTTATGTGTTCTACAATTCCTTTTTCAAGGGTTTTCTTTTTTATTATGTCTGGGAGCCAACATTTATTTCGATTGAAAAAGTAGGTCAGACTTTTTCTGACAGAAAACATTTCTAATTTGGTTCACTGGTTTGACAAGGAGGGTTAGGTTACACGGAGAACGTTTGCCATAAATAGAATGAACTAAATCTGCAACTGCGAGGTTTCAATGAAAATCTGTTTTTAAAAGCAGCATAATATTTAGGTTGGTAAGTGTGGAATGTCCAGTTTCCTCAAGTGCTAAGTTTGGCGGTTGATACAGCTGACATTTCACTCTGACGCTTCTTGTTTTATCTTTATCGTGACGGCACATCCTCAGTCTCGCAAACACATGTTTTGGCTTGTGATCATCTTTCAAAATTTTTTTAGAGCAATTTTTGTGA